ACATTTGTTTACTTTATTTCTGTACCTGAGAACGGTTAAACCTACCTAAAAAGCACTGTTTATTTAATATGCATCTTTGTTCTGTTGTATTTATGTAGGCCTGCTGAATGTTAAATGGATCCAATCCATGTTCATTAGAAATTATTTGATGATGCAGCAATAAAACTGCTAGTATAATTTAATGCACGTGTTTTTGAACTTTGCTGATTTAAAACATGATCAAAATCTATTTTGATGCCAACATTTCAAATAAGAAAGGAAGTGACAAATACCGGTATCAAAATCGGGCAATAAGTATTTGTTAAAATCAGTATCGGCCCCAAAAAATCCTATCGTGCATCCCTAGTATAAACTATATTTCAGCACGTGCAAACTTGGAGTAAACCGTACACATCTTTAGCGTACCTCTGTCACTGTCTGTGAGCAGCAAAAGCTAACCAGCGTTACTAACACATTTTGAAAGCATCTTAAAGTATTTTTTATTTATTTGTTTGTTTGTTTATAGAAATTTAAAATGTCACAATGAATGAAAATGCATTTTTTTTTGCTGTCAGTCGAGATTGCGTTTGTAAACGCGTGTCTTCTCTGACAGCTTGAGCTCTACCCTCTTATTTCGCGATAAGAGGGTAGACTTCGCGATGGTGCCAATGTTGATGGCTGCCTCCATGGCGTGCTCCGCAGTTGTTTTTATGTTTTAGTTTTGACGGTATAAGATGAACCAAACAGTGGTCAGAGAGCCCCGAAGCTCCTCGTGGAACAGAGTGATATGCATTCTTTATTGTGGTGTAACAGTGACCCAATATATTACTGTCTCTGGTGGGACATGTGATGTGCTGTCTGTATTTTGGCAGTTCACGGGAGAGATTTGCTTTATTAAAGTCCCCGAGAATGATTAAAACAGAGTCCGGGTGTTGTTGTTCTGTGTCTGTGATCAGATCAGCGAGTTGTTATAAAGCGGAGCTCACGTGTGCTTGCGGAGGAATGTAAACGCTGACGAGAATGAATGAGCAAAACTCCCGCGGCGAGTAGAAATGCTTACAGTTAATGAAGAGCACTTCTAGATCTGAACAGCACATCTTCTTTAAATATTGTCTAATGGAAATGTATTGGTAAAAATGTTTACGAAAATTAAAATTAAACCGTATAATTAGAATTGCACAATACACTAGACACATAATAAAGACAAAGATGAAGGGACATTTTAATGCTTATGACATGGCACTTGTTGTTTTGACATTTTTCTACATACTATTGTTTATTCGTGTTTCACAGGTTGTGGAGGAGATCTGGAGATCTGGAGGAGAAGGACGGAGATGGCGGGACCACAGCGAAGAGGCAGTGAGGGAAGAAGAAAAGCCAAAAAAAGCAAACACTCCCACAGCCAGAGCAAATCTAAGGAGAGTCCGAGGATAGTTAACCTCCATTGGTGAGAACCATTCAACTCTCACTGTGTGATCATATTCTGTGTTTAAATAATGCAAACAATTACAGTGAAAGCTAAAGTTGTTAAATGGTGTTCAAGAGCTTTTGGCGACAGTGATTGTGTTGTCAAAGAGCCAGGATAATTGGTGTCAATCCTGACCAACCGAAAGTCTAAAAGTCATATTTTCATGCTTTGCCCCCCATTTTTTTGTTGTTGTGTTTTTTTTTTTTTTTTTTACTGTGAGTTGGAAACTCTCATCAAGTGAGAAACACAACAGATCTGTATCTGCGCTCTATTGATTATGGAGCTCTTGAGCTCAGTTGGAGTGACCATAATTGGTTTCTAATTTACCAAAACATAAATAAATAAAAATCGAGGAGAGCATGGCAATGCAAGCTTCCATCGTCATTCCTATTAGGGGTGGAGAACGGTTCATGAAAAAAATCTGAACCGTTGTCACGGTTCAAGACACGTGTGTGTTGTTCGGGTCCGGCCATGCACAGCATAACATTATTTTTAACCTTTTGGCACGGGCTAAAGCTATAACAAGAGCACTTTTTGTTTTTATAGCGAAAGATAGGCAGCCTTATGCCGTGGAGGATGCGGGATTTAAGAATAAGATCAAAGCACTCGAGCCGCGGTATTATATTTCCTCCCGCAAACACTTCAGCGATGTGATAATTCCCGAACTGTATGACGAGACGCGACAAGTAATAGCTTGTTTGCAATCACGTGATTCTGATGACGCGTGCAATCCAGATGGAGGGCAGGAGGTGAAAAGCAGAATGGATGAGATGGAGGAAAGTCCGTACTGTAGGGTTTAGACACTATTACAAGAGAAAGGTATAAACAGAAAATCACAACATATGTTGGACGGGATCCTAATGTTATGAAGAGAAGCGATTTTTCAACTAAACTGACATACTTCCCTGCCATCGAAGCGGTGGTTATAGGCTAAGCAACTAACCTTGACTGTAAACGAGCTATTTCGAAGGTGAATCCCGCACTTATATGAGGGATGCAGGATATACACTACCTACCGTTCAGAAGTTTGGGATCAGAACGATGTTTAATGTTTTTACAGGAGTTACTTATGCTCAAGGCTGCATTTATTTAGTCAAAAATACAGGAAAAAATTTAAGTGAAATATTACAATGTAAAATAACATTTTTCTATTTTAATATACATTAAAATTCAATTTATTCCTGTGATGCGCAGCTGTATTTTCAGCATCATTACTCCAGTCTTCAGTGTCACATGATCTTCAGAAATCAGTATAATATGCTGCTTTATTATCAGAACTGGAAACTGTTGCTGCTTCATATCTTTTTGGAACCTGCGATACTTCTTTCAGGATTCTTTGATGAATAAAAAGTTAAAAAGAAGAGCGTTTATTTAAAATAGAAATCTTTTCTAGCAATACACACTACCGTTCAAAAGTTTGGGGTCAGTACATTTTTATTCTTTCTTTTTTTGAAAGAAATTAAAACTTTTATTCAGCGAGGATGTGTTCAATTGTTAAGAAGTGATAGCAAAGATTTATATTGTTAGAAAAGATTTATATTTTGAATAAATGCTGTTCTTTTTAACTTTTTATTCATCAAAGAATCCTGAAAAAAAGTATCGCAGTTTCCAAAATATTTGGCAGCACAACTGTTGATAATTTTAATAATAAATCAGCATATTACAATGATTTCTGAAGATCATAAGACACTTTATACTGGAGTAATGATGATGGAAATTCAGCTTTGCATCACAGAAATAAATGATATTTTAACGTTTTGCAAGATTCCCAATTTTTTTTTTTTTTTTTTTTATCAAGTAAATGCCGCAGACATATTGTTAGAAAAGATTTATATTTTGAATAAATGCTGTTCTTTTTAACTTTTTATTCTTCAAAGAATCCTGAAAAAAGTATCGCAGTTTCCAAAATATTTGGCAGCACAACTGTTGATAATTTTAATAATAAATCAGCATATTACAATGATTTCTGAAGATCATGAGACACTTTATACTGGAGTAATGATGATGGAAATTCAGCTTTGCATCACAGAAATAAATGATATTTTAACGTTTTGCAAGATTCCCAATTTTTTTTTTTTTTTTTTTGATCAAGTAAATGCAGCCTTGATGAGCAGAAGGGACTTCTTAAAAAACATTACAAGTCTTACTGATCCCAAACTTTTGAGCGGTAGTGTGTGTCACTCCTGGAACTGTGCTGTTGCTCCTGTTAGCAGCACATAAAACAAAACTAATTCAAACTGAATTGATTATAGCATATTAGTCCTTCCATATAATCACTAAAAAGCACACTCACTTCAATTTATCACAATCGCACAATGCTCCGTTATAATCAATGAAGATCTCTAAACGGCACTTATAATATCTCATTTACATCGTGTCTATGAGTAGAGTTTAGCATTGAGTGAATTCTGACTGTCTCATGCTGAATGCATGAGAGTTGGCAGCCCTGTATCTATTTATATATTTCTTTATTAATATCTTAATATATTATTATATTTTATTTTAACCAATTGCACACACACGCATTATCCGACTCGGCTCCTCCCGACCGCAGACGCGGGTTTACAAGACTTTTTCTTGCATTTTTCAGTCAATTTCTTGCTTTATGAACAACACATTTTCCGTACACTATAAAAGCTCCTTGTGGTTTCTCGGTTTGTCTGATTTGAGCTCTTACTTCAGATGCATGGACCTCCAGGGCCACTGAAAGTTTCAGAGTGGGAGATGAGAAGCATCATTTTGTAAGAACAAGTAAATGTAAAGCCTGTTGAAATTAACAACACCTTGCTGTGTCAGAATCTCACAGATTTAATTTATGGTGTGTCACAATAATGTGTCTATTCCTAAGATCAAGCTGCCTCATTCTTTCAGTTTTTTGATTATTTGACCTTGAGAATAACTTCTTTTTTTAAATACTGTAAATGGTAGATTTTAAGGCTATATATTTTATGCTGATGTATGGTATTTCTAAAGTGTTAAAAACCTTAGCAATGTATACCGACCACAGAGCCGTTCCGCATTTTTTTTATTAAAGTGGAAATCAGTTTACTAAATAATGTAAACTTGACTGACTGCTTCACTTCCACTGTAATGTGTGATGGTGATTTGACGTGACCGTTTCAAAATGCAGCGGCTGCTCTGTATCCAAAAGGTGCTGTTTCTGTTAGGGATGCACCGAAATGAAAATTCTTGTCCGAAATGGTGAAAAACTATATCATATATTGAACACAATTTTTTTTACTTTTTTTTTTCTTTCCCCATTTATTTTTTTTCCTCTTGCTTTTCAAAGAAGAAGAAAAAAAGACAAAACTACAATTTAAAAATATTTATTTAACATTGACCATTTTTAAACATTCTAGCAGACATTACACCAACGAAGCACAATATAACATAAATTTAATAAATTAAAATTTGCTAAATAAAAATATTTTTTATGTGGCCATCTTTGAGCCCCCTTCTTTAATAGCCTATATTGAACCCATAACTGACTGCTTAAAGAATGTAATGTACTCTGTACGCCTACTACAAAAATGTGCATTAAAAAAAAGTGGATGAACCCACAAACTAATTGTCCTAGACATAAGTCCACTTATCCTCATGGCCGCGGGAGCTAGGGGTGCTGAGAGTGTTTTACTGCACTGCAATTTAAGATGACACTGCTTGAATTTATTTCTACGTTTTAAATTTTCCACAATTTGAATGTGGTTTGTGACTTCTGGATCACAGATGGAGTGGATGTGCTGGGACATTTTGTACTCTGCATTAGGGCTGGGTTTTGACCAAGCGGCAACCTCCCGCTCTCTCTCGTGAAGCCAACACGGAAGTGACTTAAACTGTAGTTCATTGACTGGCCGCTAGAGGCTGGCTGCAAAAGAGAGTCAGTCCCATAGACTCCCCATGTTAAAATGCCCAACTTTACAGCAGAAAAAAACATGTTTACAGCCTGGTTCAAAAAATTATTTTGGTCTATATAGCTAATTTTGCCCTTCATGACGACTGTGAGGGGGGTGAATTTTTTTATAACTCATCCGTTTAAATTATATTAAGCCTTAAAGTTCTGCATAATTAAGGGCGTGGCCACTTGAGTGACAGGTGGATTGCCGCTGCTGACACTGCCGTCAAGCTAGGTAGGCGTGGTTTCAGCAACCTGCTCCCACCTCTTTCCCCATTTTCGATTATCCGGGAGTGACGAGCTGCCAAGATGGCGATGGCCGGCTCCGCCCACTTTGAGCTTCAAAAACGCTCTTCGGAAACCTATGGGTGACGTCACGGACACTGCGTATATGTTTTTATACAGTCTATGGTTTTGACAAATTTCACAATTCGATTCGATTATCCTTCACAAGCTTTCGATTTGATTTAATATCGATTATTTTGGATATATATCAGGTACAGGATATACCTAATCTCTCAACTAATGCTGTAAAATATACCTGAGAGTCAATAATATGGAAGGTTGAAATTTGCTGATTTGTAAACTAACACTTAAAATATACTCGTTTTTTTTGTAATATTAAAGTTATAATACTAACTTTAACTTTAAATCACATAATTATATTTCTTCTCCAATTCGTGTTTTGAAATATAAACATTTAAATGGTGGTTGTCACTAAAACTTCAAACATTAAATATTGAAGAACAGTAAAAAAAAAATTATAATTAATGTTATTTGGTGCATATATTTAGCAAAATGCTCCTCTCTAGAGTTAATTTTTCTAGCCGACTGAGTTTATGCTCACCGAATGTTTTTCTGTGGTAAATGTGACGTTACGTGACATTGTTTACAAGCTATTGTAGTCTTTCCACATTTGAAACACTGATCGAGTCATTTTCTGACAGGCTAGACTCGATTAAAATCTAGAAATCGATATTTTTTTTTACCCAGCCCTACTCTGCATGCTTTTCAGGGTGTCTTGATTTTAAATGATAAATTAAACTAATCATGCTGTACATTTTTGCACAATTCAGCAGAACAGTGTCTGCAAACGGACATTTTGCGTCTTTCTCGGACACTTTAAAATATTTCCATGTTTTCTGCATTTGAAGCGTGCTACGCTGGTTGCTATTTGATCGTGTAACCAAAAACGTCATTGTTCGGTAAAATCTATTCAGCCTTTTCACTTATTCGGCCGAACACCAAAAGTGTTTTTTTTTTTTTGTTGCTATTTTCAGCCAAATAATTTCGGTTGCATTCGGTGCATCCCTAATTTCTGTATTTTTAAACCAGCGGAGCAACTGATGTTCATGTGTATCATCAGCAGACTCTACTACAATACAGAAATGGAAAGAGATCGGCTAAAAACAAACTCTAGCTGGTCAAGCATGTGAATCTCCAATCAGTACTTTTTACTAGGGATGCTCCGATCCGCCTTTTTCGCTTCCGATACCGATTCCGATACCTAGGGTTCAGTATTGGCCGATACCGATTCCGATCCGATACCAGTGAAGTTTTTTTCCCTCATTTAAATAAATGTAGAATTTATATATCTCTGTTTGTGGAACTGATAAAGTCTTTCACAATCTACTAGATTGTGCCATTTTACAAACATATATAATGTTTGTAAAATGGTACAGCTTTTTAAATATCTGAAAGCACACTCTTAATCCAGTGAAGTTGTTTTCCCTCATTTAAATAAATGTAGAATTTATATATCTCTGTTTGTGGAACTGATAAAGTCTTTCACAATCTACTAGATTGTGCCATTTTACAAACATATATAATGTTTGTAAAATGGTACAGCTTTTTAAATATCTGAAAGCACACTCTTAATATCAGTCAGTCAAGCATTATAATATGATAATCAAGTATTATTTAATAATAGAAGTTTAGTAATTAGAATTAAAACTTGGTAACCATGAACTTAGGACTGGTGCTGGTGCTTTTTTTCAGTCAAGCATTATAATATGATAATCAAGTATTATTTAATAATAGAAGTTTAGTAATTAGAATTAAAACTTGGTAACCATGAATTTAGGACTGGTGCTGGTGCTTTTTTTTGGTCATTCAGTGATCCTGTAAAAAAAATGAACAATAACACTGATAAGATAATATTATTATTATTATTATTAAACGAATTCTACTAATAAGAACAATATAAAAACGCACAAAGGATTAATGAGCTACTGGATTCATGAATATTAATCAGGTTGTGTGCGTTCGCTCGAACTGATTCGCTGAAATCAAAACAGGACCGATAATAGGTGAGCACCAGCCAATGAGATTGTCGTTTGTGCATTAGTTCCGCCTACTACAGGAAAACCCGGCAGTTCTTAAAAGCTGAAGAATTCCAAAGAAACTGTTATTTTTTACAGGAAAATACAGCACAGTATATCGTTTACATGTAGCGCATCAATTCTGCATGTTATGTAAGACTCTCGCTCGCTCTCGCTCTTTGCTCACAGTGAGAGAAAGTGTTGGCGAGTCGTGCGCTTCACACTAGAGTTTACGTTACGCCAAATACACAAACACAGGTGCGCTGCGCATCCTTTCAGATGCACTGAAAAACATCACGGCTCGCTTGACGGAGAGTGAAACTCTGAAGTGCTCAGTCAGAGTGTTCTGTGAGTGAAAATATATCTGTGCTAATCATATACTCAGCATCCAACTCACACACTGACGAGTGAAATCTGAGAACTGATTAGCCATTGGCTAATATTAGACATCATTTAGTCGCCCAGAGTGAAGATTTAATCGCATATGAGAGTGATTTACTCGCAATGTAGAGGGTTGACAGTCAATGAGCACGAAGCGCTTACAATGTGCGCACATTGTAAGTGCTTCGTGTTAAAAACTGCAAAGCACAAAGGGAAGAGAAATTGATGCGTAGTGTATTATATCTGTGCAACAGTTATTGAGCCTTTCTTTTAACAGTTTTACATTTCAGTTACTGTACACGTTAAAAACTATTTATAGTCTTTTCTATGCCCGTGTTTTGTTCTCACAGACACCCGGTAGCAAGTAACAAAACATTAAACTCCGGCAAGAAGATAAAGTCCTTTTTGCAAAATCATAGACATGTATTTACAAATCAAGTATAATGGGAACACAGAATGATCTTGGAGAGAGCTTTACCGAGCCGACTGCTGTAACCGAACGCGAGCAGTGTTTAAAGGCTGAACGAATGACTGACAGCCACATCGGAGAAAAGAGTTTGTGTGAACTTTAATGCAAGGACTTAAATATTCATATGTAGCTCACATTAAGCTATCGTATGGCTTCAGAAGTAACACAATAATTCGCACAATCGAGAAAAAAAAATAATAAAAATTCGGATTTGGATCGGCTCTCTTTGACCGATACCCGATCCGAGAAAAATGGCACTATCGGAGCCGATACCCGATATGAATATCGGATCGGCGCATCCCTACTTCTTACTATATATATAAGTGCATCAATGACGTCACAGACTCCAAGAAAATCACTACACGCACCAATTACAGGGCTCCAGACTACGACCAAATGGTGGCATTTTACCTTAATGTGCATCCACATTAAATTAATCAACCCCTGAACATAAACTTAAAAAATTAGCACATTTGCACATTCACGAAAAAAATACTAATGTGCCTTGTCTCCATTTCTGTGACCATGTTTTTATGTAAGATATTACTGTATCATGCACTGTTTATGCCCTTCAGTGTAGTCTGCGTATAAATGTTCAATCCTTTTTTTAGTTTCTAGCTCTTATTCAACTCTTTTGTTTAGTCTGTATAATATCATTTAATTCTGTACGGTATAGTTTTTGTAGTCCAGTGTTGCGTAGCAGCATGGTCCTGGAGGAGCACTGTTTTGATTCAGCTGTATAGAGCTAAAGTGATGATAAAGCCACTCTGACCGGTCTTCATGACTCGTCTGGCTTGCTTGGAACAGGAGTTTGTTCAGTAGTGGTTCACAGGCATTGTGAGGCGTGCTGTAACAAGCCAAATCTTGTTCACTTTCACTCTTTAAATAGACTGATGGTAGACACAAAGTCCAATGAAGTTTGTGTGCAGTTTCTTCTCATGTGGTGTAAAGAAGTGCTGGATAACAGTAAAACAGTGTCCGTGTTTCTGCTTACTTCAGGTGAGATCTGAAGATCATATAACCACCTTGTTTTCTTTCTTTCTTTTTTTATTAGGTGCATGCATTTTTTTCTGCTGTTTGTCCTGCCTGGTGAGTATGTGTAACAAAGAAAATGTTTTTGTAAAAATACGATTAATACGATTAATAAATACCACATTTGTATCAATACTGTATAGTGATTCAACACTGTTTTTATTTGTAGGTGCTTCTTCTCTAACTGTGACGGGACAAAAGGGCGGCTATATTACCCTGCCGTGTAATTCAAGCTACAGAGGGGATTTATCCACTGTTCTAACATTTGGGTCCACAACTGCTTATGGTAACCGTCAGGATGAACACTTCAGGGGCCGCGTGCACAAGAGTGGCAACTGTAACTTCGTTCTACAACCCTTAAACACCACTGATGCAGGGAAATACACGTTGCATGTTAATGCCAACGGTCTACCTAAAAGCTACAGTCACGACGTCCGTGTTAATGGTAAGGTCAAAACTGGTTTAAATATTAATTTGGGCTTTTTGTTGCTTTCATCTGGTACCAGTGTTTATTTCATATTACGTATTATGAAATCATCATCAGTATTATGAAAGCGTCATGTCACAATTATGTTTTATCGTTTTATTTCTCTTCAGTCAATTTAACAGCACGGATAGGCGAAGAGGTAAAGTTTGACGATCTGCCGCGTGATGCTGAGAGCGTCGAGCATTTTACAAACACAGACCTAATAGATGTTTGGAGGAAAGGGCAGGGTTTCCTGACTGATCGACTGACCGACAAGAATGGCCGCCTGATCATTAAAAACTTCACATTGAGTGACGCTGGAGCATACAGAGTCCTGAACAAAACTGGAGGAATCCTGGTCACTGTGACGGTCACAACAGGTGAGAGAAAATTGATGGATGTTTAAAAATATTAATTATAAAGTGGACAGGTGAGGTTCAGTTATCATGATTTGAATAGCAAATGAATACTAAATTGTTTTAATATCCTGTACAGAATCAGGCACAGCATCAAAGGACATACAGGACCGCACACGTGATGACAAAACTAAAGGCACAGAACGAGCTCGTAAGTAAAACAGGGAGGCATTGAGAGCTTTACAAAATCTTTAAGCAGTGAGTTAAAAATAAATAAATTGTGCTTTCGTCCCACTTTCCCCTTCCAGATGCTTGTATTGGGGTGGTGGTTCTGGTGGCTCTGATTGTGTTTGCTGTCTTCATGAAGCATCGATGTCTGAACAGGAACAAGGAACAAGGGGTCCCAATGCAAGAAACTGTACAGGGGCCCAGATCACCAAACAACAGCAATGGTTACTTGGTCGTTTGCTTTCAGTGCCATCAGCTCTGCAGAGGATCCTGTCAACATATCATTTCCGACTGAATAAGTTGATTATTTTGGATTTGCCATGACCCAGAGTTCACCAAATGAACACTAGCTAGGATCAAGGAGATTCCCCCCTGAGCCAGCGAAAGGCATATATTAGTGGTGGGAGAGGAAATACTGCAGTAGGTTGACTTAGAATGGCCTATTTTACTGTCACGAGTGAATATTGTAGAAAAATTCCACTCTAAATAGTGACGAAACACAACCCATTAATACATGTTAACCAGGAGTCACTCTGATTTATAATCGTGGCATCATCTGATAAAATCAACATGCATGTACAGTAGATGCATGTTGAGCGGCTATGCGGTGGTGATGGCTATATTACTTTATTGTCTCAAAAAATGTAAATATGTATAGTATTTTTATGCTACTTTAATCAGTAGCCACGTTTACATGTACATTTCGATTAAAATCATTCCGATTGAAAGATTCGGTGGACTGTTTACATGAGACGTTTTCTAATCCGAAATGGTGTTTACATGTGCCGGTGCTTTCAATTTTGGGACATGCTAAGTAGCCTACAATGACATCAAATACAAATCACCAGAGGAAAAAACCCCCGTATTTGTATTAATATTTTTAATAACTGCTTGCACTTGCTTGGAATAAACGGACTAATATTTGAATTCATTGCGTTTATAGAAAGGTTTACCCCGCCCCTCTCAAACTGATTACAATTTATTTCGGTTTGGTCATTTTTATTCGGATTGAGGTGTTTATATGGAGCATTTTCATTCGGATTGGTTTTTTAAACCGATTACAATGCTCCATGTAAATGCACCTAGTGTCTAGCACACCTTCCTAAGAAAAGGATATGGACCAGAAGACATTGCAATTACTAAATGATATTTAGACCCAGTGGCGGCTGGTCAATAGGGGGCGCTGGGGTGCCGCCCCCCCCTTCATATGTGTGTGCGGGGCGCCGGACTAATGAGTGTCTATGTAGGTACACAAACTTTTGAAAAGCATGTGATTTGAGGCTAAGATCTAATTGGCTTGTTTCAACTTGTCTGCTGTGCCCCGAACCCTCCCACTTTTGTTGTTAGAACGAATCAATATCGTTTTTATATGTTTTATATTATGGTAAGGGGTGTTACATTTCCAACCCGTGCTTGTGATGTTCGGCCAATCACAATGCACTGGGTCAGCTGGCCAGACAGAGCAGACTGCTCTTGTCAAAGGAGGGGGCTTTGTTGAAAACGATGTGTTTGAGAGAGGCGGGGCATAGAGGGGATATTCTGTCAGCATATTCTGTTACACCAAATACACCAAATAATGATCTTTAAAATAGCATCATATGACCCCTTTAAAGCATCTCTCTGAAAAGTGCAAGCGGCATGAAAGTAGCCGAAGCCATCTTGACAACGCTATGAGACTCCAGGTTTTTTTTGGGAAGCTTAGCATTGCTGAACAGCTAGATGAAGGCTACAGGATTGGCATTAGGAGGCACAATGAAGAGGTCACAAAAATAGACGCATCCTGTCTAGACTAAGAGACTGTGAAATTTTGTGGCGCGTTTGAGCTGGCTTTGCTTGGCCATGACAAGAGCGAGATGTCAGACAATCCCGGGATAATCCGTGGCCTGGTCGATTTTGTTGCTTCTCTTGGTGGAGTTTTGAAAGAGCACCTCGAGAATGCCACGGTGTTTAAGGGAACTTCGAAAACTGTGCAGAACGAGCTGTTGGACTGTATGTTGTCTGTTGTGAGGGAGCAGCGGCTGGTCAATAGGGGGCGCTGGGGTGCCGCCCCCCCTTCAAGTTAGCCTCCTTTAACATGTTAACAATAAGTTAAATATATATCGCAAATATTAACTAAATAAAATAATTTAGTCATAGTATTCTACTGTGAATCATATTTTAATTTATTGAAAATCCAAAAATCAAAACTATATTTCTTTCATATGTGTGTGCGGGGCGCCGGACTAATGAGTGTCTATGTAGGTACACAAACTTTTGAAAAGCATGTGATTTGAGGCTAAGATCTAATTGGCTTGTTTCAACTTGTCTGCTGTGCCCCGAACCCTCCCACTTTTGTTGTTAGAACGAATCAATATTGTTTTTATATGTTTTATATTATGGTAAGGGGTGTTACATTTCCAACCCGTGCTTGTGATGTTCGGCCAATCACAATGCACTGGGTCAGCTGGCCAGACAGAGCAGACTGCTCTTGTCAAAGGAGGGGGCTTTGTTGAAAACGACGTGTTTGAGAGAGGCGAGGCATAGAGGACCTACAATAATGTACAGTGTTTGAAAAAGAATGTGTTTTTTGAACTTTAAAGCATGTCGACATATTCTGTTACACCAAATACACCAAATAATGATCTTTAAAATAGCATCATATGACCCCTTTAAAGCATCTCTCTGAAAAGTGCAAGCGGCATGAAAGTAGCCGAAGCCATCTTGACAACGCTATGAGACTCCAGTTTTTTTTTTGGGGGAAGCTTAGCATTGCTGAACAGCTAGATGAAGGCTACAGGATTGGCATTAGAAGGCACAATGAAGAGGTCACAAAAATAGACGCATCCTGTCTAGACTAAGAGACTGTGAAATTTTGTGGCGCGTTTGAGCTGGCTTTGCTTGGCCATGACAAGAGCGAGATGTCAGACAATCCCGGGATAATCCGTGGCCTGGTCGATTTTGTTGCTTCTCTTGGTGGAGTTTTGAAAGAGCACCTCGAGAATGCCACGGTGTTTAAGGGAACTTCGAAAACTGTGCAGAACGAGCTGTTGGACTGTATGTTGTCTGTTGTGAGGGAGCACATAATCCAAGAAGCACAGAGCAGCGACTTTCTCTCAGTCCAGGCCGACGAGACCACCGATATTGCCACACAGTGTCAACTTGTACTTGTGCTGTGGTACATTGATGCCAAAAACAACATACAGGAGAGGTTTTTTGAGTTTATTCCTCTGCGTTCAACTACAGCTGATTCCATCGCTACAACACTAAAAGAGCGTCTTGCTGTCATCCTTCCAGAGGATCAGAAGACTAAACTCATCTCTCAAGCGTAGGATGGAGCCAGTGTGATGAGGGGTGCCACTGCAGGTGTTCAAAGGAAGATGCAAGATGTGTACCCAAATGCCCATTACATCCACTGCTATGCACATAAACTCAATCTGATAATGCAACAGGCCACTTCTCACATACCCAAAGTGAGATTTTTTTTTTCTGACCTTGGAGGATTTGCCAGCTTTTTCTCAAGATCACCCAAGCGCACAGATGTCCTTGATAAAGTAGTTGCCCATAGACTACCAACATCAAGCAGGTGAGAGAAAGCGACAACGAGTCGTGCGCCTTCACACTAGAAACACATTACGCCAAATACACAAACACAGGTGCGCTGCGCATCCATTCAAATGAACTGAAACATATCGCTTGACGGAGAGAGAAACTCTGAAGCGCTCAGTCAGAGTGTTCTGTGAGTGAAAATATATCTGTGCTAATCATATACTCAGCATCCAACTCACACACTGGCGAGTAAAATCTGAGAATGTATTAGCCATTGGCTAATATTAGACATCATTTAGTCGCATATGCGAATGATTTACTCGCAATGTAGAGGGTTGACAGTCTATGAGCACGAAGCGCTTACAATGTGCGCACATTGTAAGCGCTTTGTGTTAAAAACTGCAAAGCACAAAGGGAAGAGAAATTGATGCTTGGTGTATTATATCTGTGCTACAGTTATTGAGTTTTAAATTTCAGATAAAATAAAAATTCGGATTTGGATCGGCTCTCTTTGACCGATACCCGATCCGAGAAAAATGGCACTATCGGAGCCGATACCCGATATGAATATCGGATCGGCGCATCCCTACTTCTTACTATATATATAAGTGCATCAATGACGTCACAGACTCCAAGAAAATCACTACACGCACCAATTACAGGGCTCCAGACTACGACCAAATGGTGGCATTTTACCTTAATGTGCATCCACATTAAATTAATCAACCCCTGAACATAAACTTAAAAAATTAGCACATTTGCACATTCACGAAAAAAATACTAATGTGCCTTGTCTCCATTTCTGTGACCATGTTTTTATGTAAGATATTACTGTATCATGCACTGTTTATGCCCTTCAGTGTAGTCTGCGTATAAATGTTCAATCCTTTTTTTAGTTTCTAGCTCTTATTCAACTCTTTTGTTTAGTCTGTATAATATCATTTAATTCTGTACGGTATAGTTTTTGTAGTCCAGTGTTGCGTAGCAGCATGGTCCTGGAGGAGCACTGTTTTGATTCAGCTGTATAGAGCTAAAGTGATGATAAAGCCACTCTGACCGGTCTTCATGACTCGTCTGGCTTGCTTGGAACAGGAGTTTGTTCAGTAGTGGTTCACAGGCATTGTGAGGCGTGCTGTAACAAGCCAAATCTTGTTCACTTTCACTCTTTAAATAGACTGATGGTAGACACAAAGTCCAATGAAGTTTGTGTGCAGTTTCTTCTCATGTGGTGTAAAGAAGTGCTGGATAACAGTAAAACAGTGTCCGTGTTTCTGCTTACTTCAGGTGAGATCTGAAGATCATATAACCACCTTGTTTTCTTTCTTTCTTTTTTTATTAGGTGCATGCATTTTTTTCTGCTGTTTGTCCTGCCTGGTGAGTATGTGTAACAAAGAAAATGTTTTTGTAAAAATACGATTAATACGATTAATAAATACCACATTTGTATCAATACTGTATAGTGATTCAACACTGTTTTTATTTGTAGGTGCTTCTTCTCTAACTGTGACGGGACAAAAGGGCGGCTATATTACCCTGCCGTGTAATTCAAGCTACAGAGGGGATTTATCCACTGTTCTAACATTTGGGTCCACAACTGCTTATGGTAACCGTCAGGATGAACACTTCAGGGGCCGCGTGCACAAGAGTGGCAACTGTAACTTCGTTCTACAACCCTTAAACACCACTGATGCAGGGAAATACACGTTGCATGTTAATGCCAACGGTCTACCTAAAAGCTACAGTCACGACGTCCGTGTTAATGGTAAGGTCAAAACTGGTTTAAATATTAATTTGGGCTTTTTGTTGCTTTCATCTGGTACCAGTGTTTATTTCATATTACGTATTATGAAATCATCATCAGTATTATGAAAGCGTCATGTCACAATTATGTTTTATCGTTTTATTTCTCTTCAGTCAATTTAACAGCACGGATAGGCGAAGAGGTAAAGTTTGACGATCTGCCGCGTGATGCTGAGAGCGTCGAGCATTTTACAAACACAGACCTAATAGATGTTTGGAGGAAAGGGCAGGGTTTCCTGACTGATCGACTGACCGACAAGAATGGCCGCCTGATCATTAAAAACTTCACATCGAGTGACGCTGGAGCATACAGAGTCCTGAACAAAACAGGAGGAATCCTGGTCACTGTGACGGTCACAACAGGTGAGAGAAAATTGATGGATGTTTAAAAATATTAATTATAAAGTGGACAGGTGAGGTTCAGTTATCATGATTTGAATAGCAAATGAATACTAAATTGTTTTAATATCCTGTACAGAATCAGGCACAGCATCAAAGGACATACAGGACCGCACACGTGATGACAAAACTAAAGGCACAGAACGAGCTCGTAAGTAAAACAGGGAGGCATTGAGAGCTTTACAAAATCTTTAAGCAGTGAGTTAAAAATAAATAAATTGTGCTTTCGTCCCACTTTCCCCTTCCAGATGCTTGTATTGGGGTCGTGGTTCTGGTGGCTCTGATTGTGTTTGCTGTCTTCATGAAGCATCGATGTCTGAACAGGAACAAGGAACAAGGGGTCCCAATGCAAGAAACTGTACAGGGGCCCAGATCACCAAACAACAGCAATGGTTACTTGGTCGTTTGCTTTCAGTGCCATCAGCTCTGCAGAGGATCCTGTCAACATATCATTTCTGACTGAATCAGTTGATTATTTTGGATTTGCCATGAACCAGAGTTCACCAAATGAACACTAGCTAGGATCAAGGTGATTCCCCCCTGAGCCAGCGAAAGGCATATATTAGTGGTGGGAGAGGAAATACTGCAGTAGGTTGACTTAGAATGGCCTATTTTACTGTCACGAGTGAATATTGTAGAAAAATTCCACTCTAAATAGTGACGAAACACAACCCATTAATACATGTTAACCAGGAGTCACTCTGATTTATAATCGTGGCATCATCTGATAAAATCAACATGCATGTACAGTAGATGCATGTTGAGCGGCTATGCGGTGGTGATGGCTATATTACTTTATTGTCTCAAAAAATGTAAATATGTATAGTATTTTTATGCTACTTTAATCAGTAGCCACGTTTACATGTACATTTCGATTAAAATCATTCCGATTGAAAGATTCGGTGGACTGTTTACATGAGACGTTTTCTAATCCGAAATGGTGTTTACATGTGCCGGTGCTTTCAATTTTGGGACATGCTAAGTAGCCTACAATGACATCAAATACAAATCACCAGAGGAAAAAACCCCCGTATTTGTATTAATATTTTTAATAACTGCTTGCACTTGCTTGGAATAAACGGACTAATATTTGAATTCATTGCGTTTATAGAAAGGTTTACCCCGCCCCTCTCAAACTGATTACAATTTATTTCGGTTTGGTCATTTTTATTCGGATTGAGGTGTTTATATGGAGCATTTTCATTCGGATTGGTTTTTTAAACCGATTACAATGCTCCATGTAAATGCACCTAGTGTCTAGCACACCTTCCTAAGAAAAGGATATGGACCAGAAGACATTGCAATTACTAAATGATATTTAGACCCAGTGGCGGCTGGTCAATAGGGGGCGCTGGGGTGCCGCCCCCCCCTTCATATGTGTGTGCGGGGCGCCGGACTAATGAGTGTCTATGTAGGTACACAAACTTTTGAAAAGCATGTGATTTGAGGCTAAGATCTAATTGGCTTGTTTCAACTTGTCTGCTGTGCCCCGAACCCTCCCACTTTTGTTGTTAGAACGAATCAATATTGTTTTTATATGTTTTATATTATGGTAAGGGGTGTTACATTTCCAACCCGTGCTTGTGATGTTCGGCCAATCACAATGCACTGGGTCAGCTGGCCAGACAGAGCAGACTGCTCTTGTCAAAGGAGGGGGCTTTGTTGAAAACGATGTGTTTGAGAGAGGCGGGGCATAGAGGTGATATTCTGTCAGCATATTCTGTTACACCAAATACACCAAATAATGATCTTTAAAATAGCATCATATGACCCCTTTAAAGCATCTCTCTGAAAAGTGCAAGCGGCATGAAAGTAGCCGAAGCCATCTTGACAACGCTATGAGACTCCAGGTTTTTTTTGGGAAGCTTAGCATTGCTGAACAGCTAGATGAAGGCTACAGGATTGGCATTAGGAGGCACAATGAAGAGGTCACAAAAATAGACGCATCCTGTCTAGACTAAGAGACTGTGAAATTTTGTGGCGCGTTTGAGCTGGCTTTGCTTGGCCATGACAAGAGCGAGATGTCAGACAATCCCGGGATAATCCGTGGCCTGGTCGATTTTGTTGCTTCTCTTGGTGGAGTTTTGAAAGAGCACCTCGAGAATGCCACGGTGTTTAAGGGAACTTCGAAAACTGTGCAGAACGAGCTGTTGGACTGTATGTTGTCTGTTGTGAGGGAGCACATAATCCAAGAAGCACAGAGCAGCGACTTTCTCTCAGTCCAGGCCGACGAGACCACCGATATTGCCACACAGTGTCAACTTGTACTTGTGCTGTGGTACATTGATGCCAAAAACAACATACAGGAGAGGTTTTTTGAGTTTATTCCTCTGCGTTCAACTACAGCTGATTCCATCGCTACAACACTAAAAGAGCGTCTTGCTGTCATCCTTCCAGAGGATCAGAAGACTAAACTCATCTCTCAAGCGTAGGATGGAGCCAGTGTGATGAGGGGTGCCACTGCAGGTGTTCAAAGGAAGATGCAAGATGTGTACCCAAATGCCCATTACATCCACTGCTATGCACATAAACTCAATCTGATAATGCAACAGGCCACTTCTCACATTGAAGGCAACAGGATTGGAATTAGAAGGCACAATGAAGAGGTCACAAAAATAGACGCATCCTGTCTAGACTAAGAGACTGAAATTTTGTGGCGCGTTTGAGCTGGCTTTGCTTGGCCATGACAAGAGCGAGATGTCAGACAATCCCGGGATAATCCGTGGCCTGGTCGATTTTGTTGCTTCTCTTGGTGGAGTTTTGAAAGAGCACCTCGAGAATGCCACGGTGTTTAAGGGAACTTCGAAAACTGTGCAGAACGAGCTGTTGGACTGTATGTTGTCTGTTGTGAGGGAGCACATAATCCAAGAAGCACAGAGCAGCGACTTTCTCTCAGTCCAGGCCGACGAGACCACCGATATTGCCACACAGTGTCAACTTGTGCTTGTACATTGACGCCAAAAGCAACGTACAGGAGAGTTTTTTTGAGTTTATTCCTCTGCATTAAACTACAGCTGATTCCATCGCTACAGCACTAAAAGAGCGTCTTGCTGTCATCCTTCCAGAGGATCAGAAGAATAAACTCATCTCCCAAGCGTATGATGGAGCCAGCGTGATGAGGGGTGCCACTGCAGGTGTTCAAAGGAAGATGCAAGATGTGTACCCAAATGCCCATTACATCCACTGCTATGCACATAAACTCAATCTGATAATGCAACAGGCCACTTCTCACATACCCAAAGTGAGAATTATTTTGTTCTGACCTTGGAGGTTTTGCCAGCTTTTTCTCAAGATCACCCAAGCGCACAGATGTCCTTGATAAAGTAGTTGCCCATAGACTACCAACATCGAGCAGAGTCAGATGGAGCTTCCACAGCCGTGCCATCAATTCAGTGTTTGAGCACAGAGAGTACCTCATCTGCCGTTTTCAATCTATACGAGACTCGGGTGACTTTGACCCGGTTACCGTCAGAGAGGCAGGAGCCTTTGCCATGCTGCTGGAGGATCAGGATATTACGTTTTTTCTGCAACTTTTCCACAACATTATGCCATAGATTCAGTCCACATCAGGGGGAGCATCCAGCAGTTCCAGCAGGACATAAAGACGACCAGCTAGCAGCTGTATTCCTTGTTTTGCATTTATTATTATTATTTTTATTATTATCATTGATACGTTTTCTTATTCCTTTACAGAAATTATCTCCATTCCCTGGTGGACCAATGCAGTGAAGGTGGTTCTCAACCGAAGAAGCAGCGGTCATTCAGTCCAGAGGTCCATGAACGGATTGCAGCAGAAGTGAGTTTTTATTGCAGTCAAAATAAATGAAACAATGCAGTTTAATTTGTTGCAAGCACAATGGCTTGTGTAGATGATAGTTATACAATGACCTTGTCTCTTATCAAATAAGAGTCTTTAAGTGTCTCATTATAGAAGCATTATATATAAAACGTGAATAATGAAAAGTATTTTGGAGATCAGTTTTGTTGATTATAAGCTGATTATATTGGGCTTTATGAAACTATAATAAATGTATGTGCATTTTTTATATACTGCAAGGCTATCTTTTTAACCATATACACAGTCTTTAAACTGATCCTAAAATGATTTGTTATTCTTGTGGACAACATTAGTATTACAGCCTTCATCTCTGAGTTAGATTAAAATAAATGGCTGATGTATAAAAAATTGCTGTAAGCGCCCTGAGCATCAGAAGTTCATGAAGCTTGACATGTTTATTAAGAATGAACAGGTTTATGAAGTTTTGAGAAATTATGGATTCAAACACTAAAACACTGGTCACCCGTTATAACTTAAATTGGTCATTTTAAATGTAGCCGTTGAAAGGAGAGTGTGGCGTAAACCCCACCCACAACAGGATCCGATTGGGAGAACCCCTTTTGGTTTCCCGGAGAACTCACCATCGACTGACCGCTAACCAATCAGCAACGCCGTTATTTCCTCCAGCAACCGACGTCACAAAGGGAACGCACTCACTGAATCAGTCGAACGCAAGTACTCTTGCTGAACTGGAGCAAATCTTATTAAGCAACTGAAACCAAGGTTGAATTGCTAGTATTATTCTCTCAGGTTGCGGTTTAAGAAATGGTGTCTAATGCTGGTTACTCGGGACTCCATTCAATTTCTGTAACATCACCCCTTTCCTCACTGCTGTACGAATGTATGTGTGTTCGTTTAGGATAGTTGTGTGTAAAGTAGTTCAATAAAGTATTGTTTGATTTTTACAGACAAGTGACTTGATTGTGTTTACAAGTTATTGTCTTAAACTGTCGATTCAGTTAGCTTGCTGCCTTGCTCATAATCAGGGATTATAACTGCATGATATCATCGATGGCCACCAGAGTAATATCTTGCTCCAGAATTGGTAAAATATTCTAAGCTCAATTTATCAGTGGGCGAATAGTTGATAAAGTGTTAAATATTATTTCTGAATCATTTACTGGTTAACTCAGTCCTGATTCACGGATTCGGATACCTTTGAGGATATTATCCTGAAATCCCTTACAATTAACTCTTTCCAAGATACTCCAATAATGTAACTGTAATATTATTACTGAAATCTTATTAGTAATTAGTTACACTACTAGTTAAAAAGTAATATTTTTTTACTGTAACTAGTTCCTGCCCAACACTGCTTATTGGCCTGATTAATCAAGCTCTCTATAAAACAATCCCCTCAATTTGATAAAACTATTATGCAGATATTTAATGGTATTAGATATGTTAATTGCATTTAATAAAACATGATTAAATTAAAGATACAATTTTTTTTTAAATGCATGGTTTTGGTTGCATTTACACCATTTTGCCCACAAGTTTGTGGCGTTTCGAACGCTCCCTCCTGAACGGTGAATAATTTTGCAAAGCAAAATGTTATAATTATATTTAAGAAATTACAATGTGTAGAAGATAATTAACTCCTATCTAGGACCTCCAACACCTCTACACACTTAGTTAATGTGTAAGGTTACTTAATTACTGCAACAGTAATTAAAAAGAGAGAAAAAGAATGGTCAATTCTTAAAGGGGACATTCAATACTATATGCATACTTAATATGAAACCTTTTTTTTTTTTTTTTTTTTTAAATAATGATTTTAGTCCATCTTAACCTTATTTCTGTAAAAACACCTATAGAATCTGCTTAATCGGCAGACGTCATGCTGTGTGTTGAGTAAAAGGCTTATATTTAACAGCTATTACACACTAAAGGAAATTCAGTAAACTATTCCAAACATTTGTCAATATATTACACAAATTGCTCAGAAAAAGTTAGTAATTTGGACTCTTGATTGTTATTGTACATTTAAAACATTCTCAAGCTTGAATAGCAAATAAATTAGAAGTTACTTGTCACTGCAATACAGCAATTGCTCACTGAGTGGAGCAAAATACACAAACATAACCCATGCAGCCAACCACGTGCTCTACTCCTCAGCACAATGGTATACCACAGAAACATAACTGAACATTAAAGGGATAGTTCACCCAAAAATGAAGAAGATATTTTGAAGATTGCTGGTAAACAAACAGTTGGGGGTTCCCATTGATTTCCATGGTATTTTTTTTTCCTACTATGGAAGTCAATGGGAACCACCAACTGTTTGATTACCAGCAATCTTCAAAATAACTTATTTTGTGTTCAACCTAAGAAAGCAACTCATACAGGTTTGGAACAACATGAGGGTGAGTAAATGATGACAGAATTTTCATTTTTGGGTGAACTAACCCTTTAAACACTAATACTATATGATGCATGACATAATTCCACTTCATAGGCCTATACAGACTTCTAATGAATAGAAGAAATTAATGGCCTGTTCTAATGGGGGACATCCCATATGCACACCTCATACTGTAATATTTTATAGAAATGTGACATTGTTTCACTTTAGAGGCATTTAGAGAAGTGTAATCTAGTAAGTAGAAAAATAATGGCCATTTCTTGCAATAAGGCACGTCAGGGGCGCCTCATCCTGTTCCCTGAGATCTATCTCCAGGGGGGTATTCCAGTTATGTGACATACCCAGGTATGTTTGAGGATAAGCGAGCGGATAACCTCAGCTTTTGGTTCCAAAATCGGAGGTAACTTCAGGGCATGTAAGTAGCCACAGCAACTTCCTCTGTGAAGATAACCTGCTCCGGAGCAGCTTCTGTTCCAGGGTTAGTTCACTTCAGCGCACGTGTGATCTACTGACGAGCCTTCAGTGGGCGTGACAGATTGAGCACTATATTATATATTATTACAATAAAGTTATGTAATATAGTCTACTATATATATATATATATATATATATATAGTTGTATGATATGTTAATTATAAAGCGCTAATATAAGTAATAAGGTAATATTATTCTAATATGATATTGTTATATTTATTTTATCGACATAGCCTATACAACAGTTATCTGTATAAATTATAAAACACTATTATGACAGGGAAATGTTTAATTTATTATATATATTTATTAAATTTTTTATATTATCTCACACATGGATCGGCATTTTCTATAATGTATTTCTATAATAAAAAAACGTTTTAATCTGATATGACTTAATATATAATTAGCATCAAACAAACGATATAATCCTTATTCTCAAGGATTGAAGATTAAACGGGGAAAAAAGAAAAATGATTGCACAACCATCAATTAGGTGGCGATATGCACAAAGCATGTAAATGACCACTGAACAAAAGAAGAAGATAGAAACAGCATGGCCGCTTTTTCTTGGCATCTTTTTCCATAGTGACTCGTCGATTCATCAATCTGTTGAGAATGTCTTGAGTCTTAAAGGGGTCATATGATGCGATTTCAATTGTTCCTTTCTCTTTGGAGTGTTACAAGCTCTTGGTGCATAAAGAAGATCTGTAAAGTTGCAAAGACTAAAGTCTCAAATCCAAAGAGATATTCTTTATAAAAGTTAAGAGTCAGCCACACCTACCTAAAACGGCTCGTTCTAACACGCCCCCACATATCTACCTCACTATGTGGGAAGATTTGCATAACGCCGCCCAAATGTTCACGCAAAGAAAGAAGGCATAACTTTTAATCGACACATTTCAGAAAGGCAGGGCAAAGAGGAGAAACAATGTACATTATATGGAAAATGTGTTTTTTTAACCTTAAACCACATAAACACATTGCATTACACCACATACACAAAATAATGTTCTTTTTAGCAACGTCATATGACCCCTTTAACCAGGAATATACTCTGGGTTGAGTGAACTTACTCCTGGACACGTTTTTAGAACCACATACAGTATCTCACAGAAGTGAGTACACCCCTCACATTTTTGTAAATATTTTATTATATCTTTTCATGTGACAACACTGAAGAGATGACACTTTGCTACAATGTAAAGTAGTGAGTGTACAGCTTGTATAACAGTGTAAATTTGCTGTCCCCTCAAAATAACTCAACACACAGCCATTAATGTCTAAACCGCTGGCCACAAAAGTTTTTTTCTCTCCCCGGTGTCATGTGACTCATTAGTGTTACAAGGTCTCAGGTGTGAATGGGGAGCAGGTGTGTTAAATTTGGTGTTATCGCTCTCACTAGCCTTGTCCAAATACCCACACTTGTGGTCTTTGCACTTGACCACTTGACTACTCTGGCGTTTTTAAGACCTGGGACAGTCTTGCGCACTTACTTCCTGTTGCGTGCACGCGCTCTCAAGTGGCCAAGACCGCAAGTGTGGGTATTTGGACAAGGGGACTCTCTCGTACTGGTCACTGGAAGTTCAACATGGCACCTCATGGCAAAGAACTCTCTGAGGATCTGAAAAAAAGAATTGTTGCTCTATAAAGATGGCGTAGGCTATAAGAAGATTGCCAAGAACCTGAAACTTAGCTGCAGCACGGTGGCCAAGACCATACAGCGGTTTAACAGGACAGGTTCCACTCAGAACTGGCCTCGCCATGGTCGACCAAAGAAGTTGAGTGCACGTGCTTAGCGTCATATCCAGAGGTTGTGTTTGGGAAATAGACGTATGAGTGCTGCCAGCATTGCTGCAGAGGTTGAAGGGGTGGGGGGTCAGCCTGTCAGTGCTCAGACCATACGCCGCACACTGCATCAAATTGGTCTGCATGGCTGTCGTCCCAGAATGGTCTGATGAGACCAAGATAAACGTATTTGGTTCAGATGGTGTCAAGCGTGTGTGGCGTGTGAGGAGTACAAAGGCAAGTGTGTCTTGCCTACAGTCAAGCATGGTGGAGGGAGTGTCATGGTCTGGGGCTGCATGAGTGCTGCCGGCACTGGGGAGCTACAGTTCATTGAGGGAACCATGAATGCCAACATGTACTGTGACATACTGAAGCAGAGCATGATCCCACATGATGTACACTCACTACTTTACATTGTAGCAAAGTGTCATTTCTTCAGTGTTGTCACATGAAAAGATATGATAAAAAATTTACAAAAATGTGAGGGGTGTACTCACTTCTGTGAGATACTGTACCTTGAGTATAAGCAAGGTTTTGGTTTAATCAACCGAAAGTTCGGGGTTTAGCAGATGGTAAGTTAACCATGCTTTTTGGAATACACCCCAGAGCTCCAACAACACACCTGTCTATTTATCAAGTGATCCTGAAGATCTTAATTGATAAGGGATGGAGCTGAACTTTGCAGGAAGGTAGATCTCCAAGAACAGGATTGAGCACAACTGGTTTATGAGGTGCCTTGCAGAGTTGCCAATTTAACGATTTTAGCTACAAAACAATTCTAGTTTCTTAGACTCATCAATATGATGTGATCTAGCCACATTTAGCGAGAAGGCTTTAGCTATATTGGTGCCCAGTAAGAAATGACCATTATTTTACAACTTATTTTGTTCCATTTTTGAGCATTTTGAGTTTGGATTCACACTTTATGTTCGGTGTGCTGATAGTGTAGGAGGTGAAAAAACTTTAACCCCCCCCCCCCCCCCCCCCAAGACCCCACTC